CCCCAAAACCCCCAAAACCCCAAAACCCCTTGGATATTATTCGAAAATGGGGTGTGACGCAGATAATGACGACAGTCGTAAATAAATGATTATATATGGTAACTAATATTAAGCACTCTTTTTATAATTACAATATCTAATATCTACGATAAGCTATTATTTATAAGATTTATTTCTTTTTGGATCCAAGATAGTAAAACTTATATTTGAAATAAAAAGGTTTAATGATTACTGACTTAACCTCAATATATACAGACTCGATTGGAACCAAACAATCTTTCACTCCATCAACTGAGTATATTCCAACTTTAGAAGACACCAAATCTTCAAGTAGAGTGATGGACGAGTAGTATAACGAGTCTTGCAGTGACTGGTCCAACGTCTCGATTAATACAACTCTTAAGGACCTTACTGCTTGTGTTGAGAGATATCACAATTTAGACCCGAATAGATTCGACTAAACCGATATTCCTTTTGTGATTGCTGAGTACGGCTGTGCAACTGGGGCAGCTTCTGTACTTCCATTACAAACGATTATCAACGCAGTTCGAAGAATTCAACCTCGCATGACTATCCAAATAATACTAAACGACTTGCCCGAAAATCATCATGGACTTGCTATCTCAGCAGTCTCTCAAGGCCTATCCTTATATGACGACATATATATTATGGTTGCAGGAAAAGATTTTACGAAATAAGTTTTTCCAAACAATTCTGTTGATATTGCTTATTCTAATATGACCGCCCAAATCATTCCGTAAGCTCCTTGTCCCAGGGATGAGAACGTGTTCTTCTTGGCGAATTCCAAAAATATTCAAAGTGAATGGGGAGAAAAATGGGTACAAGCTTTTGAAAAACATTGGGAATCTTTTATATCAAATAGACAAAAAGAACTAAAGACAAACGGTCAACTATTCGTTACTGTGCTTATCTATGATGACCCAATCTTACCGTATCAAGAAAAGGAAACCTAATTTTATCATGAAGTTGCTGGCGTATGTCTTAAGAATTTGCTTCAGAAATATAATCTTGCTGATAAGCTACAAAGCACACTCAAGACTTCATCATCAATGTTCAAGAGTCACTACATAGATATCTGTGATAAGTATAATGAAAAAATCTAAGTTGTTAGTTCAAATTCCTATGACATCATAGATTATTTCTACGCTGAATATGAAAGAACAAAAGATTCAAGATAGTTTGGAATGAAAGTAGCAGCTTATATTAAGGGGTGGTGGGCTCACGTGCTCGAGGGTGGACTTGTCTCTGAAGGAGTAAATCAACAGCTGGCAAACACAATCTCTAACGAGTTTTTCGACACAAATTTGCCAAAGTTTGTAAGCGAAAGAGCATCTATTTACCCTGAGTACTTCAGGGTCCTTGCTCTTTCTGTACAAAAGATCTGATTTGATATCAAACTGAAACATATCGAATATAATCACTATTACACATAGCTTTAATAATCTAACTCATTCTTATTAATACATATTCCTTTCTTATATTATTTTTATCAAAATATAATATTAATATCCATACTTGCGGGGTTTTGGGGTTTTGGGGTTTTGGGG